TAACTACTCCGCAATATCCGACAGCTTGAGAGTCGCGGCGGCTGTCATATGAATGTAGTTGGTATGCCTTTACCCGGTCTCTGATCACCTTAAAAATGTCCCTCGTGTTCACTGCTGGTAGTACCAGGTGATGTGCATAAATCGGGTAAAAATTCTCCAGTATTCTCCCTCTTTATCCATATTTACTTTTTTCTTTTTCTTTCTCTTCTACTTGGCAGTTACACCAAACCGTTAGTGAACCAACATCAAGACTTCCGATGTGATATTATTTGGTCAGATATATGTAGAGACTGTTTCCTTTTTCAGGATAGAAACCAAAAAGCATGTCAATATCTGTGGGTATACAGCGTGCGTGCAATATAGGCAAGAGGACTTAAACACTGTCAGTATAGGGTAGTGATCTGTGATTGCATGCATACTTTAATATTTTCATTTTCAATTTCAATTTATTTTTATTTTTATTTTTATTTTTATTTTTGACTTATGATGGCATGGTACAGTACCTGATCTGGATAAGAAAGGGGTGAGTGAGTGACTTGGGACTGACTGCACCATGCACCATGTGTTGAAGTTTCCATAGAGTCGGTCATGACCACTTTAAATTGCTCCTATAAATCTAATTTTCCCAGAGGTGAACTGTATCTGTCAACTAGTCTCGTCATAAATTCTCCTACTAGCACTCTTGACTCTCATTTTTATTTCTCTCCTTCTAAGCGACTGGTAGTGGATTACAGGGACGGTCATCTCCGGTTTAGGTAGTAGTATAATACGTCCTTCCACATCGACTCAACAGATCTTTCGTTCTTGCTCTGACTATCGATTTAACCCTTCTTCTCCCAATTATTGTGATTCAAAACCTTCATCCATTTTCAGAGCATTCTGTCCTGTCTCATCACCTGGGTTAGGGTATATTGACGAGTCTCTTCCCTTTGTCTCGCGTCTTAATACGGAACTTGGTACGGGAACTATCAACTCCGACGCAGTAATTTTTTACCTGTCTGCTGCATTTCTATTTTCTTTCAGCCATCCCTCGATTCCACTGCCGCCCCAACCTATTAGGCCGAACATCACGTCGATAGCTTCCGCGACTAGATTGCCTTAGTCCTTCCCACTTGATCGAGTTCCAAACTTCTTGGAGTTCCACTGTTTGAGGTACACTCCTCCTCCGTATTCCTTCTTCCCAGTTGCTATTATTATTATTACCTATTCGCAACCCAATTTTTTTTTTTTCTAAATTTTTTTTTTTCCCTTACCCTACTTTCTTATTCTCCCATCATCTGTTTCTCTCACATTCACAATTAATTCGACCTATTTCGTCTCTGCCTCTGGAGGAATACTTTCTTCTTTCTTCTTTCCTTCCCTCCTTTAGTTCCCCGCCTCTCTCTTCCTGTCTGTCTTCAAACACCCTGGCGCAAGCCTATACTACTTTCCCGCTGGTCTTAATAAAGTTCTGCTGGCCATCATCGGTCGGGATCCTTGCCCTAAACAGCTTTCTTCCTGCCCAATTGTTTGTCCTTTGGATTTTGTGCTACGTTCCGCTGGGCCTCTGGAGCGTTTGCGCTTTCGTTTTTAAGGTAAGCTGCTCTCTGTGAGATTCATCACCTGCGAACCCATGGCCCGGCCTTATTGGCTCTGCCTGCTACCGTCTGTACCTAATATCCGCATCTCATGCTGACGTGAAATTGCATTGTCATTCTTAAGGGAAAACAATTAACCTTTCCTTTTTACTTAAAATATTTTTTCTGTTTCTTTTTTAAAAAGCCCCAAATTTTCCACCCGGTGTTTCGCCAGTACACTTGGTTTCGGCCATTCCTACCACCTACCTACCACGTTATTTCCACCCCCCCAAACGTCCGTCCTCTACCGCCCGCCCAGACCTGCTCTTTCACAACCTATACTTCTCGACATCCTTATATATTCGGGATTTCTAATATCGAATTTGGTTTTTACAGTGGAAAAATTTCTGCGTGGTGGATTTTGTGTTTTGTGGGTCAACGTCCGACTGGTTCCTTGTCGACGGATATCCTTCGTGTCGCATTGCCGAGTCACGCATAGACATCACGGGAAGAGTGTCATTTTTGGTCCCTTAAACCGGACTCTGGATTGCAGTGAGTATTTTGCGGAGTATCTAGAAACAGAGAAGCAACCTTGGGTACACTCTGGACGTTTCTGCGACAGCAAACCGCCACCGTTGAGATCTGGAATAAGTGCCAGTTACACGATTCTGGGGTCATTTCTCGCAGCGACAGAGATTCTATCGTCTTGAAAATCAGACCGACAGCTCGACCCATCTGACTGCCTGCCTATTTGTTCGTGGAACATGAGATAAGTGCGCTCGAATCGGTCTATCCTAGATTCAGTACCAGGACCCTCGTTTGAACACTATCCCTTTTCGATTTCCGCATTGGCACGCATACCGTGAATAATCGACCATGGAAGCCACACTTACCCATCGGCCGTGGGAGCCTGCCACCACTGGACCCCAAACCCCTACAGTATCTTCATCGCAGACCCTCCCCTCGATATCGACGTTGACAGCGAGCATGACCAGCACCGCCGCTCCTCCGGCGGAGAAGTCGCCCGGTAATGTGTCGTTGAATACAATTGAGCGCGATTCGGGGAATTGGTCTATGCCTCAGAGCACAAGTAAACCTCCGCACTACCTTGGTTGGTTAAGGAGTGCTGACATGATTTGTTCAGGATCCTCTACCTACTCCACCGCGACAAATGGGACCGGGAACTACCCTTCTCTTTCATTCCTTACGTCCTCTCAGCCGTCTCCCAATCGCGTATCCACGGTCTCCGATCGATCTCCTTATAACGACCATTCGAACGCCAATACCCCCTCCTCCTCGGGCGCGCAGCCATCTCCGAACTTTGGCTCAGCGCAGCCAAACCCAGCGCTTCCTTCCATTAACCAGAACTACGACGCGCCATCTCAGAGAGGTAGCATTGCAGAACCAGCGGAGTCACGACGGAGCAGTATTGATAGTCGGATGAATCAGGGAATAAGCTCTCTTGCCATAAACCCCGCTTCTCCCTATCATAGCACGAACGCGTCGCAGACATCGATCGTCTCGGGGTTACAGCGGGAGCGTGGAATATCTATGGATGTGAATATGAATAATACTTACCGAGGCCCCCGCCATTCTGGGGGACAGCCTCTCTCCCCTTTGGGCCCACGGGCTAGCGAACATCGTGGATTTGCGGCTGGCCGCACTGCACCCGCGATCTCTTCGAACCCTCGCTCGGAAATTTACAATGCGGAGGCGCCCACAGCTGGTCTTGCGTACGCTTTCCCAGATCCGGATGTTGCACGGTCCAATTCAATCTCTTCTACGACCGAAAAGTCGAGCGCACAGTTTTGCAGAAAAGGGAGCACGGCGGAATCATTTTCAAGCAGCATCTACTCGGATTCCCGTTTGCCTCGTGGTCAGCATGGTATGTCAATCTGTGATATTCGAAAACATATGCCGGTCGGTGGAGTTATCAATTACTGATCATGCTTCAGAACTCCCTCAAAATGTCCACCATCATTCGCTACAACATAAACAAGTTCGTGGGTTGATCGGAGAGGCCGAGCTACACGGCGGCAGTACCCCGTACAGCAGAACACCTGAGCTGAGGGTGACACATAAGTTGGCGGAGCGGAAACGCCGTAGCGAGATGAAGGATTGCTTCGAGGCTCTGCGGATGCGTCTCCCGCAAAGCCAGAACAACAAGTCGAGTAAATGGGAGACTCTTACAAGAGGTAATGATACAGTTGCCTATGTCTATCAAAGGTTGCCATACTAACTCTCTGGTAGCAATTGAATACATTGGGCAACTGGAGAAGATGCTGAGCAACGCTCGCCGGGAGAACGATCTCCTCCGGACCGAAATGGACGACATGCGGGCCCAGTTTAATCAGCAGCAGCAGCAGCAGCAGCAGCAACAACAACAAGCTAATGGGCAATCACGACCGCAGTCAATGTTCGAGCATCATTCGATGGCCACGCCGCAGGCTAATGGGCAATCACATGGCGCTATGTTTCCTGGTTACGCCCCGGCCGCTGGAATGACGCAGGAGCAGCCGCGGACATTACCACCTCTGATGAATGGGTCTGTCGCACCAATGCAAGGCGTGCAGTACACCGATGAGCGACGGTAATACAACAAAGGAAATCTTCTCTACGCAATTATTTTATGACATGGCTGTGATACGAGTATGCCGGTCCTGAGCCTGTTCCATTCAGCCTCTTGCGCCTTGAACGCGGAAACGTCATCTTCTTATTCTGTAGCTCACTTGTAGATTTGATTCGGGTGGTTCCGTCCCTTTTTTTTTTTTTTTTTTTTTCTGAGCACGAACATTCTGTCTCACCATCGCCGTGCCTTTTCCCTGATTTTCTTCAGTGGCAGACATTCTGCCGCGGTGTCTTATTGAACCTGGCCTCGACGTCTTTATCTCCCTTTTCTCTCATAAAGTTTTGCATCATGATTCATCTATTCGCATATGAGACAGGATATCTGGGGTTTGGATCTGGATATGGGAAGTGTATGTTCATTATGTTTGTCCTCACCGTTGACACAGTGGGTGCCTTTATAGTGCGTGTGTACCAAAACGAAAAAGCGCAAACCAGCTTGGAATAGGAGTGTGTATGGTGTTTCAATTGATATCCCCATGGTCTATGTGATTATTATGTTGATGAAGCGTCCCGAATGATTATCGGGACCAAATGTGAATTGATTTATTGAACATCCGACGAAACCTGACCTCTTTTTGCTAGAAATTGGTACGAGTGCTCCGTGAGTCATTGTACATCTGAAGCAATTATCTACTGTCCAATTGATTTTGGACGAGGAATGTATATACATACGTATACTTGAAGTATCGGGAGTCCACCAGGTGTCGGATCTATTTTTGTCTTGGGAGGTCTCGCGATGCCTGATTGGCGCCCGGGAGCTTCTCGACCACTTCTTCGGTGTCTTGAATAAGCGCCGTACCCACGACTCCATCATGGCGGCTACAAAAATTCCTGCATCTTTCTTTGGGCCAATACTTGATCAAACCTGGATCCCCGGTCTGCATTTAGCCGGGGGTCACCAGAGCTTCTCGTCCAATGAAGGTAGCTCAGACATCGTCAGCTCCCGCATGTACTATGGAGCACGGAGATTTAGCATTCTGCAGAAGAGCAGTGCCCAATAGAATGGATCGAGGTCCTGAGCGCTGATGCATGAGCTCCTAGACTAATAAGAATAGATGTGAGTAAGTTCTTCAGCGAATGTTTTCCCATCCGATTTGCTCTCTTCCATCGGAGTCCTTCCTCGTCTCATTGTGTTGCGATTATATTCCTCCTCCTCCCAGTCTGCCCTTTCTCATTCAATTTACGCGTCCCAGCAACAAATTCAAACCCCCGAAAACATATTCAAGTATTTCTTATGTCAGGATTGGGAAGGCATGGTCACTACGTCTGATTAACACGAGTTCGCATTGTCACTTTGAAGTACCATTGTTGTCTTTTGTTTTATTGACTGACACCCCCATTCACTCCTCCGGATGCTTTGTCGGCAGGGATAATACATTGTTAATGTGCTCCTTTGTCTATTGTCTGAATTACCCTGCTTTAATGGACTTTTAAACCCGATACCACGCCCTTGTGCATATGACTTTTCCTACTGGTCCGTGAAGAAGCCGTTTGTTCTAATTGATATACACATCTGACTAAGGTATGTTACTTTGTGGTCCCACCAATACTTCGGGTCTAAGTAGTCTATAAGCCGGCCTCCGTTGACGATGCACAGGACGATGGGCTGGAAGCGCCAGAAGCCGCAAGCTGAGCTGCGGATTCCCGCAATCCCGACTTTCCCCCTGTCGTCCCCAATCACAGAAGAGGTTGTTACTCCAATCTCCTCATCTCCGGATGAGCGAGACGTGGAAAAGCTTCGTCCCTTCGATCATCTGGGGGCTAAAGTGTCCAGCCCGAACCCATTTGCTCGCAAAGTAGAATACGAACAACGGCAGGAAGACAAGGAGCCAGTGCGTGAAGCCAATAGTTACTACTTCGTGCAAAAGGCGGCAGAGAGTGCAGGCGAGCCGAAGCCAGCGGCCAAGAAGAATACTGAGCGGCCTGTGGGATTGAATCTGGTCACCGATTTCTCGTTAGCACCACCGAAACCCCGGGATGATATACCGGATGAGGGGTTCGTGGATTTAAGTGACCTTAAGGTCCTTTCAAGGGAAAGGGCAGAAGAAAGGTCGGCGCAGAAAGTCAAGGGCATCCTGAAGAAAGGAACGAGCCAAAGATCCCAGAGGACTTCAGACGAGCCTCCGGACCCCGCGACATGGAGATCCTCCTTGTTTGACTGGAGGCCTAGTGGCTTACCAAAACGGAGAGGCAAGGACGACTTATCTCCATCAGACCGGCCGATAATGATTGGATTCAGCATTCCGCGCGAAGAAACCACAGGTTCACGGAAAAGATATTCTAAAGAGCTTGACGTTACAAATATCCAGCAGACGCCACTCACACCCTCAATAGTTGTCACCCCGGCAAAAGAGGATGACTTTTGGGCAGGCTTTAGCCAAGTTTGCAACCCTCCCAGAGTCACATCTAGCATTTACTCCCAACCCACCCCGTGTATAGAAAAGAGCGAGTTAGATATTCCGCCTGTACCAGCTATTCCAGCAGAGCATGCAGTGACAAAAGGTGAAGTTACGGACCAAGAGATGCTCAAAAGGCAGTCTGCGACATCTAGGAAACAACGCGCATATTCCACAGGTACAGTCTTCGAGGAAGACATCCAATCGCGGTCGGGCCTTCGTTCAAGGTCATACTCCAACGGAAGCGTTAAGAGGGCTTTTGATCGTTTGAGTGGCATCGACAGAATGAGTCGATTAAGTATTAATACTGAAGTTAATAGACACCAGTCCCAGGGATGGTGGACATATCTCCTGTCGCCTTTATTAGGTCGCTCCAACACAATCACCAGTCGAAGAACACTAACTGACACACATCCACCTCCTGTGCCCAGTATTGCCACCAATCTGACAGGGTCAAGCGATGAGTGGTGGGAGAAGGAGGTATCGTACTTTTCACCTGATACACCCGAAACGACGAGGGCCAGTCGAGGTATCTCCGACTGGCAGCCTTCTCAAAACAATCCTTTCGCCGATGATAAAGCCGTCGACGGGCAAGCTCAAGACCCGAGTGACCTTAGTAGCGCAGCGTTTGGCTTTCCCGATCAAACGGTTCAAGGCGCAGCTGCCGAGTACTATCATGCCTGTGCACATGAGGTATTTACCGGGAGGCCTTACTTCAAATGCATCAACCATATCTGTTCGATAACTCCTAAAGACCAGATTCTAGTCCCCAGTGCAGATACCGCAAAAGAAGGCGGTTCAGGTGAAAACGGTTTGCTTATTGATGTGGATGATGCGCCGAAACCCGTTGACAAAGAACCCGAAGTTTCAGAATCTATAGTCATTGCTGCCACAGCTTCCCGGCCTCCGACAATGGTCATCGACAAACAACCGGATACCCCTGTGAAGGACTCGAAGGAAGACAGTTCAAAAGACGATACAAGCGCCCCTCCCGAAGAAGACTCTACGAAGCCAATCTCCAAAGAGACTGTTGGGGAACCAGCACCTCCAGCAGGCAAGCAAACTGAGACCAACCCTTTTGTTCAGCTGGCTCAGCCAAGTAGCACCATCCCACCGCCAGTCACGAATGTATACATTCAATATGCCCCTGTACCATCTTCTGCTTCTGGCACTACTATTGAACGAGTTGTACCCCAGTACTTAGTGATTCCTTCTTCAAACGAAGGGACGCAAAAGCATGAAGTACAGCCACAAGCGCAACCGCAATCTCCTGGTCCTGTCTCCCCTGGTTTACAGCGAGCCACGGAAAAGACAGGCTCAATCCCTCTATCTGACATACACTCGACCCCGGCGCCTGCGTATACGTCTCATCGTAATACTCCCGCCACGTTACCGCCCCGTGTAGATTCTCTTCCGATCACACGGGAGGTGACGACGAATCCGATTACAGAAAGCAATAGAATAGAGTCTCGACGAAGAAGGCTCGAGAAGGAAGATGCAGTCGGTAGGAGAGCTGGTGGACTATGGCGCGGCAGAGGTTGTTTCAGCAACAAAGGATGTTTTGGGAGACCTGGACGTGAAGGGCGGCTGAGGCGCCGGTGGTATGCGGCCATTGCTTCATTCTTCATTGTCATTGTCGTGGTTGCCGTTGTCCTCGCTATAATGCTCACCAGAAGGGGGGACGAGACACCTGTCCAGTCGCAATGGCTGAATCTAACCGGCTATCCACCTATGCCGACAGGCATTGCAACAGTTGCTGGACCTGAGCCTCAAGTACAAAACTCCGGCTGTATTACACCATCCACCCTCTGGAGCTGTGCCTTGCCCAATGAACACCAGTCAGCCAACAAGCCTTATGCTGCAAACCAACCTAATTTTCGCGTCGAGATTCGTTTCTGTAATGGGACTTATCCGAATAGCACGACTGTTGCGTCAAAGTCTAGCAAAGCAAGCGTTTCTAGAAGATCTGACAACTTGTTCAGCCCGTCGCCATCCCCGCCAGGCATGAAAGACCAGACGTTTCTGGGCAATACCACTGATAAGAACAGTGTTCCCTATGCGGGCGAAGAGACGCCCTTCTACATGACAATACTCTCCCCTCTCCAGATGTCCACCACCCAACTGACACGGAGATCAGACAATTCGTTCCCTGACATAGAATCTCTCATTCCATCTCCAGACCTAGACTCCGACGGTACCGCTGCAGCCGCAGAGCTCTATCCTCTTCCCGAGTCACAACCTGTGCGGCTATACAACCGCGGGCAGGACACCGAGCACTATGGCTTCTACACCTACTTCGACCGGTCTGTTTTCCTTGAATCATCTGCTCCACTCACGGACAGCAAGAACGATGATTCTACAAGCGATGCCAACGGCGGTCCAAGCAAAGCACATGCCCGAGTCAGGTGTACCTGGGCCCAGACACGCTTTCTCGTTCAGATCTGGACTCGTCCTGGAAAGACGCTCCTCAGTAACAGCTCATCTGCCAGCACAACGCCAACCCCCACCCACACAGGAACCAGCAATCCAAGTAGCTCGAACTCCGCTACTGACTTCGTTCGTCCCGGTTCCTTCCCGTATCCTATAACGATGACTCTAGATCGGCACGGGGGCGCGATAAAGAAGAAGATGGTGTACTGCTACGGTATGGAATCAGATCAGCATGTCAACTCGACCGAGGCGAAATTACAACTCGAAGACCGCGGGTTCGGCGGTAAGCTCATCAACCCGGCACCTGGGATCTTTAATATGTCTGATTCTGCTTTGAGCGAGTCGGGTTATGGTGGGTTTGACGGTGGAACTGGGGGCTGTTCTTGTCAGTGGACGAACTGGGTTTCTAGGTCATAGGTTGATGAGATGTGGAGTATTGCTAGCTATCATCCCTATCGCTCAACCTTGCTCTATGTTTTCACTTCATACCCTGCATTCTCTGTTCATAGGGATCTTTTTATAATCTAAGCCAGATATTATTCTTAACTAGATTTGGCATTAACACTATATAGACGAAAAAAAAGTCATATTGCATACACTTCCGAACGGCAACCTGTAACTATCCGGCCAGCGATGGCAATAGACTGGACTGCTAGGTCACATGAAGAATGACTCCAGGGTGCAATGTTTCTGGATCTATCATATGGCCCACTGAAACAGGGTCCAGGGTTACAACGGTCTAGTCTCAAGTCGATGCAATTAATATGACGTGGTCATATAGTACATGCAGAACCAAACATAGACGTATCACGTTCCATTTCTGATCATGTTTCCCTTCATTCCAATTCCAGTCACCAAACAAGATGACCCGGAGATGCAGCGTGACCCACATCCCTTACTTAAGGTAAGACAGGTGAACTGAATTTCTTCTAGATTATGAGATATCTTCTTTTTCGGAGGAAAAAGAAAAATTCAAGGTAGACCCTCATATAAAAGCAAGCATCTCTACCCAGCAGAAATTCGGGAAAGCCAGAAAATGTCATAGATTCACAATGGCCACAAGCAGTCTCACAGACCACCAACCGTGGTATCAACGCATCCAATGGTTTAATTTCTTCATGCTAGTTCTCATCCCTCTATGGGCTTTCATCCAGTCACTTTGGGTCCCTTTGATCTTGAAAACCCTGGTCCTGTCAGGAGTATACTACTTGTTTTCGCTGGGTTCTATAACAGCCGGTAAACCACTCTTCTACCCTCAGAACATTTTTTTTTTTTTTAGAAAAAAAAAAAAAAAAGGTGGAAAAAGGAAAAAGAGAAAACTAACAACAACACCACCACCACAGGATATCACCGCCTATGGGCCCACAGATCCTATACAGCATCAACCCCTCTCAAATGGCTCCTAGCTGCGTTCGGCGGCGGAAGTCTTCAAGGTTCAATCCGGTTCTGGGTACGCGAACATCGTCTCCACCACCGATACACAGACACCGACCTTGATCCATACACCGTGAACAAGGGCATCCTCCACGCCCACATCCTATGGGTTCTCCTCCGTCAGCCGCGGAACGAGAGAAAAAAGCGGGCCCGCATCACCCTCTCCGATCTCGACCACGATCCCGTCGTAGCCTGGCAACATAAGTACTACTTCCTAATCGCCTTCGGCATGGGCTGGTTACTCCCCTGTCTGGTAGCCGGACTGGGGTGGAACGATTGGATCGGTGGGTTTCTCTACGCCGGCGTTCTGCGAGCCTTCTTCGTCAACCAGGCTACGTTCTGTGTGAATTCTCTCGCCCATTATCTGGGCCATCAGCCGTATGATGATCGACATACGCCGCGCGATCATCTGCTCACGGCGCTTATTACCCTCGGCGAGGGGTTTCATAACTTTCATCATGAGTTTCCGTCGGACTATCGGAATGGGATTGAGTGGCATCAGGTCGATGTGACGAAATGGTTTATTTGGGCCTGTGGCTTTGTCGGATTGGCAGGTGACTTGAAGAGGTTTCGGCATAATGAGATCGCCAAAGCACGCCTGCAGCAGAGGTTTAAACGACTTGACGAGGAGAAACGACGTCTAGATTGGGGCACGCCGCTTGAGGAACTTCCTGTTATTGACTGGACGGAGTATCAGCGGAGAGTGGGGGTGGGACAGGTGCTTATCGTGGTTGAAGGCGTCGTGCATGATCTTGGACCGTTCCTGACTGAGCATCCTGGAGGTGAGGCTACTATTACGGGTATGCTGGGGAAAGATGCTACGGCGCTGTTTAATGGGGGCGTCTATGACCATTCTCGTGCAGCTAGGAACCTTCTGGCTACTATGCGGGTTGCGGTGCTGAGGGGTGGTGGAGAGGTGGAGTGTTGGAAGTAGGAGCATTATCATATGCTAGATATGATTCATGGAGCTCAGGGAGTTGGTTGTGATGTTCTTATTTCTCTATTCTGTTCGTTTTATAGAATTTCTTCCTACCGATACCCATACATGTACTGGAATAGATAGTACTTCCCATCTTGCAAAATCAACAATACTAGACACATTTAACTATAACTATACAGCAACGGTTACTGTAAGCATTACCATTAACCACCACCACCACCACTACTACTACTACTCATAAAACTTCCAATCCAAATAAACAGTAATAAATGACACCCAATGCCCTAGAATACAAGATACATGACCAAGTCAAGGTAACATACTAAAGCAACAAACCCATGAACAAACCAGCACAAGACAAAGAGTCACAAGACCACCACACTGTCCACACATCGCAAAGAATTCCCAGACTAAAAACCCAATGCTCTCAACTACCTTTTTTCTGAACAAATCATATCAACACAGTCCAGACCCACTGGTCTTCATGGATATAACCTCCAATAGGCAGAATTGTTAATCCCTAGGAAACCCTCTATACCCAATTGGGATGTCGGGGACGAAAAACACGAAGTATAAGAATAGACCCGTACCTACTCGGTCTCATGTCCAAATAACCAAAACTACAATAATCTATTCATTCTCCCTCTGAACCAACCCTCTTCCAACAAGAACAACAACAACAACAAAAAAAAATAAAAAGAAAGAGAGAGAGAAACCAAAAAATAAAAAATAAAAAATAAAAAATAAAGAAAATGTCCACCCTAACCCCCCAAGAAACCACCCTCGTTGAAACCGCCACAAAAACAATAACCAGCATCAAACCCTCCAACACGCACAGTGTCGCCAGTGCCATCCTCGCCTCTGACGGCCGGATCTTCTCCGCCGTAAACGTCCACCATTTTACCGGTGGCCCTTGTGCCGAACTCGCTGCCTTGGGGAGTGCTGCCGCTGCTGGGGCGGAGAATCTCACACATATTGTGGCTGTTGAGGATACCCGACAGATTTTGAATCCATGTGGACGGTGTCGACAGGTTTTATTCGATTTGTGGCCTGGGATTAGGGTTATTGTTTTGAGTGAGGAGGGGCCTAGGGTTGTTGGTATTGGGGAGTTGTTGCCTTTCGCTTATTCTTGGCCTGGGGAGGAGTAGCCTTTTATTATAGTATTTATTTTTATCATTTTGTCCCTTTTGGGAGGGGGTTGAGGGGTGAATTGGAGTGAGTATATTAGATGGTTTTGTTGAAAATGGTTCTATATCTGTTAGAGCGACGCTTGACAAGTGGAAGAGAGTTATTTTGAATGCCTGTCTATTATTATTATTATTATGAGATTTCAATAAATGATCTAAACGCCAAACCCAAACGCCCCACTAAGTTCCCCGATATTCTTTATATATATAATAAAAAAAAAAGAGAAAGTCGAGGATTCCAAACCATTGACCCTGAAATCGAAAATAGAAGTAATTATATGTCAAATAGAGATATCATAAAATGGTCCCGCTTCGTCAACGTTTCTGCAACATCATCTTTCATCTGTTACTGCTTCGGAGCGGAGATCACCATCGTCGAAAAGGGTTGCTGCTTATACCATGAACATCAGTCCAATGGCAATGCTAGCGACAGCCGTGAGACCAGGAATGATGAGCTTGGAGCCGGGGCTAGTAGGAGCCAAGCCAGTGGAGGTTGGCTTGGCAGGAACGCCACCACCGCCAACAAAGCTTCCACCACCGGTGGTTTGGCTAGAAGAAGAAGTAGAAGTCTTCGGGATAGTCGAGTTGGCAAACTTAGGGAAGCCGGAGCTTGCGGAGGGCTTCGGGGTCACGGCAGGAGCGGTAGTGTTACCAGCTGGGACAGTTGGCTGGACAGCGGGGGCACTGGTCTGGGCAGCAGGGGCGGTAGTCTTGATGAGGGGGGCACTAGACTGAGCAGGGATGCCAGGAATACTGGAACCACCGGCGGTAGGCTGAATAGCAGGAACATGGGTCTCGGCAGGCGCAGTAGACTCGGCAGGCGCCGCGGGAGCAGCAGACTCAGCGGGAGCAGCGGACTCAGCGGGAGCAGCGGACTCAGCGGGAGCAGCGGACTCAGCGGGAGCAGCGGACTCAGCGGGAGCAGCGGACTCGGCGGGAGCAGCAGACTCGGCGGGAGCAGCAGACTCGGCGGGAACCCCAGGGGCACTGGACTCGGCGGGGGCACCAGTTGCTGCAGGGGCGCTAGGGACTTCAGTCTCAGCGGGGACACCGGGGACGGTAGGGGCGCCAGTTTCAGCAGGAGCCTGGGAAGCACCGGGCTGAACAGCCGGAGCGCTAGGTTGAACAGCCGGAGCACTGGGCTGGACGGCAGGAGCACTGGGTGGGATAACTGGTGCAGCGGTAGCAGTTTCCTCGCAAGAGGTGATCGTTACTGTGTGCTCGCTATTCGTATCCCAGGCACTGGCAGTACCGGCGGCGATGGCTAAAGCAGTGACGACGTGGTTCGAGATATGCATTGTGATCGAGTGGATGAGGTGAAGATGATGCCAAGTAAAACGATGCTTTGAGTTTCAAAGGGAAAGATCAAAGATTGGTCTATAAGAAAGTGTAGAAGTATCGATTAAATAAAAGTGTAGGCGATGCAAACTGATGAATTGAAGACTGATGATGAGAAGATTCGGACAGCTCATCTGAAGGCCTTTATAGTAACCCCAGGGCCACTAATCCGGTATCATCGAAGAGAATGAAACTATCCATCTTGCCTTTTGAATGAGTGAGCGCCTGCAACCGGTCTGGCCATACAGCACGGCGACTTTGTATCAATGAGTGCTGCATCCGGAGAAGCACAATATCCTATTATGCGCGACATACTGCCTAGACACCGTAGAAAGGCACTAAAATTGAATGGCAGTAAGAGAGACTGCCCAGAACGAGCCTGAAGCAGGTCCTATCACGTGAAGGTATAATTCCGGCTCCATGGATCCTGGAAGAGCATCTGTCGTCAGCAGATTACCGGATGCGGATATAACGATGCGGTTAACAAGCCGTGAAATACAACCATCTCAATCTAAGTAGAGCTCACCCAAAGTGGGCCCCACCGATACCACAAAGCATTGTGTCTCTAGGTTGAATCTAGGTTGAATGCGAATATAACTCATGGCACCAGGGGGACGAAGCCGGAAGCACCTAAGGTCAACGGTGGGTAAAAGTCCGTTGACAGGGATGACAGGATTTGCAACCAACAGGGTTGCATTGAATCCTGCCAAATCAATGCTGTGGCTCATTCATCATACACACAGTATGGGGTAACTGTATGAAAGGCGATCAAGAAGCGTTAGTGTTTGTACTGGTGGATATTGAGGTTCTTCATGACCCGTCTCGGTTACTCTGACCTGGGCAATTACCAAGAGGCGGGGTTTTTCCATGTTGTTTCATTCTTATAGAAAAGAATAATAACTACTAGCGTCGGTAGTGTAACGGTTATCATTCTTGCCTTCCAAGCATGAGACCCGGGTTCGACTCCCGGCCGACGCAGATCTTCACTACCTCTTTCTTTTTTAGCCTCCCATAAGCTTTTTGCTATGTCCCAAGTGTTCTTGCAGTTGGAACGGAGGATATATATAGTCTTCATCAAAGGACCTTGTTTAATTGCTATAGGTTTCTATACGGCCTAGAAAATCTTTGCATTTTTGGAAAGAACATTGTTGTCAAAGAAATATCTACTATCCAGGATAGAAGACCTGTCAACTAGGTAAGGGTACGTAGGCACAAAGCTAAATAGTAGATACTTGATTCTTGCCTTTCTCTATTATCGATATCAGGCTATCTTTATAGCTGGAAGAATCCCCTTCTTCTTCTAACAAAATATGACTGACAGGGGACTACTATACGCTATTCAAAAGGCAACGGATATAGACTCCGACGTCACCGCTCGGCCACCGAGTTGTCTATACACGGCGGGCAGGCTATACGGATCTGTGACAATTGTAGTCAAGTATCTGAATATTTACTGTCGGGTCGCTAACCTCAAAGTGCTGCCCTTCTACTGCTCTCTTTGCACAGTCAAAAGATATTTTACGGAAAAATTGTTAAAAACTTAAAAAGGAGAAATCCACTCTTCATGCGTCGGCCGGGAGTCGAACCCGGGTCTCATGCTTGGAAGGCAAGAATGATAACCGTTACACTACCGACGCTGATTAGTTAATCATTTTACTTTTCTTCAGCTTCATGAGGGAAATATATTAAGGCATACAAGACATCCACCTTAACTCTACTATCTTGACCATTTTTATTTTAAACATCATCAGTTTTATCTTCGAATCCACTTTGGCTAGTGTATATATCTCCGTCAGTACTCAAGTCTTTCCTCCCCGTCGATAGTGATAATGCTACTTATAATACGTTGGTGGGTCTGGATATTATTAAATATATATCCATATCAATGGCAGTTCGCTTGAAGTACCATGTGGTATTTTTTTTTCTGAAGGCTACCCATTGCCCATTTCTTCTCTCTCTCCCCCATGATTCCCCTACAAGAATATAGCCCATAGTTACCATAGTCTTCACCATGAAAAGGACTGCCTAGGTCCTGTATGCTGCCAACTGACTCTCGAATCTATAAGCCAACGCAGCTGACTAAGGCCGTCAAGTCACACCTCGGATTCATGACCCGCAGCTTGAATGAGCAACCAATCGATCATTGAATCAATCAATCAATCAATCAATCACTGCTTCCCTCGTGCACTCACTAGTCGTCCAGGTCAATGTATTGATCTGATCTCGGGATTTACTGATCCCGCCATTCGTTACCATCCCCCATGCCTACCCGACGTGATATCCCTAGTCATTCCCTCCTTTCCCCCGGCGATTACGACGAAGATGCTGAGTCCTTGCGATCGCCGTCAGAGCAGGACTCTGACTCCGAAGATGACGAGTTTCTCCGTAGATCTCGCACAACCCTGGAACTAGCGGAGCATGATCGCATGGTGCTGAATGACGAAGAGGAAACGGAGAAGCTACTGATCAGGGGAGGTCCAACGCACGGTCTGCGGCGAATCTTTAGCCCTAGTAGCCCAAGTGTAAAGATCGGAAAGCGAGAACGCCGACGAAAACGGCGGGAGGAAAGAAGAGCTGCGCGCAGAGGACAGCATGAGAAAATGACTGACTCGGGAGAGTTGATGTTCGAGATGGAAGAAGGTCACCGGGGGGACGACGAGAGCTCCCTCCTAAGCCGATCGTCGTCCGATCTAGACCGACAACTCAAGGAATATGGTGGTAATGAGGTATGGTTGCCTTACTCATACTAATACCAAGCGTATGTTCATTATTGGCCGTCTAACTGTCTTATTCTCTCAGCGACCTCAGCGCGTCTCGTGGCTTAAGCTTGCCTTAGTTTTCGCGGCGATCTTTGTCCTCTTCCTTATATTCCTTCTAGGAGCATACAAAGCATCGACGCCTTCCCAGACTACTAAACCCCCTCAAGCGTTACTGTCGAATGGCACTGCCCTTTTTGCACCCACCACGATCCTGATCTCTCTTGATGGGTTCCGAGCGGATTTCCTCAACCGTGGGTTAACACCAACTCTCAACAAGTTCATTGCCGAGGGTGTATCTCCACAGTACATGCTCCCCAGCTTTCCAAGTGTCACCTTCCCCAACCATTTTACTCTCGTTACCGGATTATATCCCGAAAGCCACGGAATTGTGGGGAACACCTTCTGGGACCCGGAGTTGCAGGAGGAATTCTACTACACCCACCCGTCAGTTAGTATGCGGCCCGAGTGGTGGAATGCCGAACCATTATGGATGGCTGCCGAGAAACAGGGGATCAAGACAGCCATTCATATGTGGCCTGGTTCCGAAGCGCATATTGGCGGAGTTGAGCCGACAATACTGGATAAGTACAATGGCTCGGAAGCGCTCCCTCGCAAAGCCAATCGCATCCTGGAATTCCTTGACATGTCTGGCCTCGAGGACGAGTCCGAAATAGTCTCGGAGCGACCTCAGTTCATCGCTGCCTATGTTCCTAATGTTGATGCTGACGGGCACAAGTATGGGCCCAACAGCACAGAGATCCAAAGCGCTATCTCGGAAGTAGATGGAATGCTGGGTAGCCTTCTCGCCGGCTTGCAAGACCGGAACTTGACCGACATCGTTAACGTAGTAATTGTCTCTGACCATGGAATGGCTACCACGGCAACCGAACGATTGGTGCAGTTGGATGATTTCGTCGATCTCAGCCTAGTGGATCGCATTGATGGATGGCCGTTGCGTGGGCTGCGCCCCAAACGACCAGAAGATGTCGAGACGCTTCAGAAACAACTGGAAAGCATAGCCGTGAACTACTCACATGCGGTTGAGATTTACACCCGTGAGACGATGCCCGAGCGCTACCATTTTACGAACAACGATCGCATCGCCCCTCTTTGGGTGATTCCGAAGACTGGCTGGGCCGTGGTTGAACGACCTGACTTCGACGCCCATAGCGCCTTGGAGAAAGGCGAGGTATATCACCCGAGGGGCGTTCACGGGTATGATCACGAAAATTCGCTGATGCGGGCGATCTTCATTGCCAGAGGCCCGGCATTCCCTCACCAACCTAATAGCCGGGTAGAAGCATTCCGTAAGTGCTAATTTGTCTTATGATGGAAATGGACTAATCAAAGTAGAAAATATCAATGTATATAATATCCTTTGTGATACTCTCGGCCTCGACCCACGCCCGAACAATGGAACACTGCGCCTGCCTCTAAAATCTGTGGGCCTCCATTCGGACGAGGACACTCCGGCGCTTGAAAATCCCTCTGACCCTCCAGCCAGCAGCATGGTTACCCCTGCATCGCTTAGCATGACTTCGACTGTACCAGCTTCTACAGGCCCAACAGCTACCTCTACAACCGTCCCCGAGGCCCCATCAGAGGAAGAGTCAGACGATGAGGCGGACAACGAAAACGACCAGCCCTCTACCTGGTGGGGGACCCTTTGGGATAAAATCGAGGACCTGAAGGATTGGGCGGGTGACCTAATTGAGACCGTGAAGGACAATTTCCCTTAAATTCCGACGTTATCGCAGAGCCAATGGACTCGATGATCGTGGTAGAGTATATACTATTCGTTGCTTTAAAGATACCCAGTTTTCTCCGTGTTAGATAGTATACATCTTGTTGGATAATCTAATTTTTGGTTTTGATTTTTGATTCGCTGCAATACTTTCGTCAATTCTCCAATGAATTTGGGTCAAGCGATTTAAATCCATGAGGCTGAAATCCTTGAGCGCCGATCGCAACGTCATTGCCGCATCGGGTCTGCCCTAATCGGGTACCCGACGAGGAAAAATGATTGAAATGATGACTCAAAAAAAAAAAAAAAATGGCCAGCCGCAATGCGCCACAACCGGGACCCAATCGTAAGAGTCATGCTGGCATGTCGATCAAGAATTTTGATGATTCAGGCACCTGTTGCGCTGTCATGGATTGAGATCGACCCCATCCAATCTGTCTTTCTGCCTTATGGACCCTGTGCTGCCTACGGGGAGGTAGTGCTTAGAACTTATAAGGACGTGAGAATGCCCGCCATAGTCGCTGGATAAATCATTCAGAGAAACAGGAAGTCAATTGACCCGATTACTCGAGTCATTCATTCCTTAGGGCTCATTGTTTCTGATCTCGTTTCTTTACTCTCTTTTATTATTGTTCCCTGAGACCCTGTAACAGTCGGGCTCTTAGTATAGACAGTACATGTCGAAACTGCATACCATCTCCAGAGACCTTGATTGGAACCATATAAAGCCATCATGGAGTCCGCGCAACTTTCAAGTATTATCAATAAAACCAATATGAACTCAACCACTCCCCCCCTTCTATCTCCCTCCGACACAGCCCTCCTCGAAGCCTTTATCCCGGGCTACTCCTTCATCTCGAGATTTCTCATCTCCTACCTTCAAATCGACCTCTCTCTCTACCTCCCCTATATACTCACCTACATTGCCATCGCTGCGGTGCTCAAATATTCCTTTTCAAAACTCAAGGGCGTCATGGAAACCCACTGCATCGCAACAGCTGAAATCCGTCTCGACGACGAGATCTCCAACTACCTACTGTACTGGATGGCGCAGCAGCCCTTCGCAAACCGGAGTACGCGGTTCCTCGCCGCAACACGGATCTCCACTCAATCGTACGATTACGACTCCGATGATGAGGACGAATGGGGTGAGGAAGACGAGTACGACGAGGACGGCAACGTGATCAACAATTTCGACGAATACTGGGCGAAGATGCGCAATAGAGATAAGTTCAAGCGTCTGAGGTTCACTCCCGCGGAGGGGACGCACTATTTCTTCTTCCGCGGTCAGTTACTGGCCTTTGTCCGGGCCAAGGGCGATCAGAAGCCTTCTTCATCATCTCGGTGGGGAGCGCGCTTCGAGACCGAGAGATTGTATCTGTCGTGTTTTGGACGGGACCCGGCCATCCTGAAGGAGTTGCTGGCGGAGGCGCAGCGGATGTATGTCGCGCGCGACGGGAACAGTACTATTATCT